GAAACAAAGAGGAACAAGAAACAACGAAGGCATATGTGAATCATGTGACCAACTTTCCATATCAATGAATGGAGAACACTAAGGTTTCAAGACTTCAAGAAAGTAAATGAATACAACTCAGCTTTGTTCAGAATATGTTCACAACTCAAGTATTGTGGACAAGAGGTTACTGATGAAGATATGTTGGAGAAAACTTACTCAACATTTCATGCAACAAACATTACTTTGATGCAACAATATCGGATGCAAAAGTTCACAAGATATTCTGAACTGAATGCATGTCTGCACGTTGCAGAGCAAAACAATGAACTCTTAATGAAAAACCATGAATCTCGTCCAACGGGATCAGTAGCACTTCCTGAAGCAAATGCTACAAATATTGATGGTCATCGAAACAATACATGTGGACGAGGGCGAGGTCGTGGTCGAGGGCGAGGCCGTGGCTATTTTAATCGAAACCAAAGCCATAATCAGAACCATAATTCTGGTCGTGGACAAGGTAATAATCGTGGTCGTGGCCAGAAAAGAAATAATTACCAATATTCACAAAGAAACAATGTCCGCACACAAGATAAGGCCAAAGTGGCAAGGCATGACACTGGGACATCACAAAAATCTAATGGTTCATGTTATAGATGTGGTAGCACAGGCCATTGGTCAAGGACCTGTCGCACACCTGCACATCTTTGTCAACTTATCAAGAGTCCATTAAAGGAAAAGGAAAAGAAGCAAACCTCAATGATAATGTTGAATTCACTCCGCTAAATGTTGCTGATTTCTGTAATGACATGGAAGACATAAACTAAAAAAAAATCTATTATTGTTCTAGTAAAACTGTTTTCCTTCGTTTGTTTTCATGTAATGTCTTTCCTACAAAAATGAGCTTTCTTTTTAATAATAATTATGATTATGTTTTTCACTTATTATTCCTTTTATATGTGAAGTTTAATATGAGTCCAACGGAGCACAACACCAAGAAAAGATTGGAGATCTTTGTATAGCAGATAGTGGTAGTACACATACTATTCTGAAATCAAAGAAATATTTTTCAGAATTAGTACCAACAAAAACAGTCATACATACAATATCAGGTCCTGCAGACTTGATAGAGGGAACCGGGAAAGCCCATTTTATATTACCAAATGGTACAAGATTTTGTATAGAAAATGCCTTATTTTCTCCAAAGTCTAATAGAAACTTATTAAGTTTCAATGACATATATTTTCAAAGGTTATGACACAAAAACTGTGACCATTGAAAATAAGAAATATATGTAATTATAGACAAAACCATGTGCTTGAAAAACTACCAACACTTGATTCTGGTCTGCATATACATATATACATATGATTGAATCAAATATGGTAGTAGAAGGAAAACATTGTGATCCTGGGACATTCAGTTTATGGCATGATAGGTTGGGCCACCCAGGATTAACAATGATGCGAAGGATAATTGAGAATACACACGGGCATCCATTGAAGGGCCAAAAGTTTCCTCAATCCAATAGCATAAAACCATGTGCATCTTGTTCCCTTGGAAAGTTAATTATAAAACATTCTCCAATGAAAGTTGAAAGAGAGTCACCTAGATTTCTAGAAAGAATTCAAGGTGATATATGTGGACCGATTCACCCACCATCTGGACCATTTAGATACTTTATGGTCTTAATAGATGCATCCAGCAAATGGTCTCATGTTTGCCTATTATCAACTCGTAATATGGCATTTGCAAAGTTTCTTGCCCAAATTATTAAATTAATGGCACATTTCCCTGATTATACTATCAAAAGAGTGAGACTTGATAATGCTGGTGAATTTACTTCACAAGCATTTAATGACTATTGTATGTCTGTAGGAATTGTTGTTGAGCATCCAGTTGCTCATGCACACACACAAAATGGTTTAGCTGAATCACTGATTAAACGTCTCCAGCTAATAGCTAGACCATTGATAATGAGGACCAAACTTCATGTTTCTGTTTGGGGCCATGTAATCTTACAAGCTGGATCATTGATACGCATGAGACCAAGTTCATATCATGTATATTCTCCACTACAACTTACTTTCGGTCAAGAGCCAAATATATCCCATTTGAGAATTTTTGGGTGTGCGGTATATGTCCCTATTGCACCACCTCAACGGACAAAAATGGGTCCTCAAAGAAGGTTGGGAATATATGTTGGTTATGAGTCAGTCCTATATTATAAGATATCTTGAACCATTAACAGGTGATGTTTTCACAGCACGCCTAGCAGATTGTCAATTTGATGAGGCAAATTTCCCATCATTAGATGGAGAAAAGAAGATTCTGGAAAAGGATGTGTCATGGCATGAGCCTACTTTATCATATCTTGACCCTCGCACAAAGCAATGTGACATGGAAGTTCAAAAGATAATGCATTTCCAAGAAATGGAAAATCAATTACCCGATGCATTTACTGACACAAAAAGGGTGACTAAATCATATATACCAGCTGTCAATGTTCCAGCTCGAATTGACATTCCACATGGACAATCTGATGATAAAGTCACTCAAGAGTCTAAAACACACCTGAAGCGTGGAAGGCCATTTGGTTATAAGGATAAGAACCCAAGAAAAAGAAGAGGAGCAGAAAATGCACTAGATCACGATGAAAGTGTTCCTGGAGAAACACGAATTATTCAAATTCCCCCAGGAAAGGAGGATGATGCATTAAATTATGGTCAGACAAATAGAATATGTGACCAAAATGAAACTGACAATATATGTGCAATATTTTCTTATTCAGTTGCATGTGATATTATGAATGATGATCCCGAACCACAATCTGTCATTGAATGTCAAAGAAAAAATGATTGGGGTAATTGGAAGGAAGCTATGCAAGTTGAATTAAATTCTGTTAACAAGAGAAAGGTTTTTTGGGAACATTATCCTCACACCTGAAGTTGTGAAACCATTAGGATATAGATGGATCTTCGTACGAAAAATAAATGAGAAAGAGGAAATTGTAAGATACAAGGCCAGGCTTGTTGCTCAAGGTTTCTATCAAAGACCTGGAATTGATTATGAAGAAACTTATTCACCGGTAATGGATGCAACCACTTTCAGATATTTAATCAGCTTGGCAGTATCTAAAAATTTAGAGATGTGTCTTATGGATGTTGTTACAGCTTACTTGTATGGATCACTTGATAGTGATATCTATATGAAAATCCCTGAAGGATTTAAAATGCCTGAAGCGTTAAGTGCAAAACCCAAAGAAATGTATTCTATAAAATTACAAAGATATTTGTATGGGTTAAAGCAATCTGGGCGCATGTGGTACAATCGTTTAAGCGATTATTTGACAAGTAAAGGTTATAAAAATAACACTATTTGTCCATGTGTATTTATTAAGAAAACAACATCTGGATATGTGATCATAGCAGTCTATGTTGATGATCTAAACATCATTGGAACGAATAAAGAAATCCTTGAAGTGATTGAACTTTTAAAGAAAGAATTTGAAATGAAAGATCTTGTAAAAACCAAATATTGTCTTGGTTTACAGATTGAGCATATGCCTAACGGAATACTTGTGCATCAATCAAATTACACAGAAAGAGTCTTGAAACGTTTCAATATGGAAAATGCAAATCCTTTAAGCACTCCAATGGTTGTTAGATCATTAAATATTGACAAGGATCCATTTCGTCCATGCGAAGAAAATGAAGAAGTCCTTGGTTCAGAAGTACCATATCTAAATGCAATTGGAGCTCTTATGTATCTTACCAATTGTACTAGACCTGGCATTTCTTTCACTGTAAACTTGCTAGCAAGATTTAGTTCAGCCCCAACAAAAAGACATTGGAATGGAATCAAACATATTTTTCGATACCTTCGAGGAACTAGTGATTTAGGGTTATTTTACCCTAACAATTCAAAACAAGGCTTGATTGGTTATGCAGATGCAAGTTATTTGTCTGATCCTCATAAAGCTAGATCTCAAACTGGATATGTATTCATGAATGGAGGTACTGCAATTTCCTGGCGTTCTCAAAAGCAAACACTTGTTGCCACATCCTCAAATCATGCTGAAGTAATTGCACTAAATGAAGCTAGTAGAGAATGTACATGGTTAAGATCGATGACACAACTAGTTTTAACTTCATGTGGACTTGAAAAGGATATATGTCCCAACTTTAATTTATGAAGATAACTCAGCATGTGTCACTCAAATGAAAAAGGGATATATCAAGAGCGACAGGACAAAACATATACATCCAAAGTTTTTTTAGTACACTCAAGAGCTTATAAAGAACCATCAAGTTGAAATCAAATATGTTCAATCCAGTAACAATGCAGCAGACCTTTTTACGAAGGCACTTCCTACTGCAATCTTCAGGAAACATGTTCATGACATCGGAATGCGACATGTGCATAGAATATAATGTGACGGATGTCTAAATAAGGGGGAGTCAACTATACACTGCACTCTTTTTCCCTTCGCTAAAGTTTTTTTCCCACTGGGTTTTCTTTAGCAAGGTTTTTAATGAGGCAGTACGTCAAAGTTGAATGCTAAAATGATGTCATCCAAGGGGGAGTGTTGTAAATAATTGGTGGTGTTGTAAATAATTGGTGGATGACATAATAATTGGTGCATGGTAAATTTGTCAACATTTCTAACTAGTTACAATTATATGTTAGTAAAATTTGTAGTATAAATACTCCTCCATTATAAAGAATGAAACACACCAAAAAGTTATAAGAGATATAACTTTCATATTCTCTCTAAATATTCTTTCTTCTCAATTAAAGTTCTTATCAAAGTTTACTGGTTTGGTTTGATTTATAGTTACATTAATTACGCTTAATTCATAACAGTAGATAAATTGTTATATTTTCTTTTTTTGTATTTTACCCAATAACTCAATAAAAATTAGTTACATTGTCCTGTGACCTAATTTTATTGATTAACCCTTTTTTTTATTCTGTCAAAATTTGAAGGGTAGAAATGAATTTTCATCCATATTCCATGGTAGGCTTCTTTCTAGACTCGGCAATCGTCAAATCGTCACCGCCGTTGCTTAACATCGACGGAAACCGACCCCATAAAAAATGGCGACAATTCCATTGTCAACCATTCACACGATCTTCCCACCACTACCCCCTTCACTATCCCTCCGCCGTCGCCCGTCTAACAATCTCTCATCATTTCAAAAACTCTTCAGACCTTCCAACAAACCCCTGATTTCCACCTTCACCTCAAATCTCGTCAAACCTTCAGCAATGGACTCCATTTCTTCCACGAGAGTCCAATCGAGCGGCAGTTCTAGTGTTCCCGATCTAGGGCTCATTCAACGTGCTATTCAATTGGCTCAATCATCACCACCCACATGGCAATCTGCTATTTTCAGTAATTTTGTGATTTTTCTCGTGGGATCGCCGCTTCTGGTATCGGGATTATCTCTCTCCGGCATCGCCGCCGCCTTCTTGCTAGGTACTCTTACTTGGCGTGGGTTTGGACCATCGGGATTTCTTCTCGTCGCCACTTACTTCGTTATTGTAAGTAAAACTTAAACTTAATTTGTTCAACTCGATCAAAGTGCCCCAGCTTTATATCAATTGATAGTGGGCAATGATGTTCTGATGTTCTCTTCTCGATCAAACACATTCGATGGGTTTTTTCATTTACCTCTGGAGATCTGATCTCCCCAAATCCCCAATTAAGCACAAACATAGCACTTCAAGATTTTGAATTCTTATACAATTTGCCACCAATGAAAGCTAAAGTTTTTCTATAATACTTGTTGTCATAAGATTTGAAGTTGGTGTAAATTTATATTTACAAAAAGAAGGCAAACTTCATACCATCTTGAGCTTTAAAAACAGTTTGTTTTACTACAAAAAGTCAAAATTTCTCCCTAATTCTCAATTTTCAATGAGCCAAATTTAGAATCTTGTAATTTTTTTTTTGTGCTTTCTGTTTGTTTCATCCTTTCTAATATGTTCAATTTGTGAAACAAGATGGCCCAATTAGGGGTGTTTGGATGTATGGTCCACTTAAGGTCAATCACAGCACTTAAAGATTTCTGATTTCTCATTCATTTTGGCACAAAAGAAAGCAAACATTTTTCTATAATGGTTCTTGACGTAAGCTTTGAAGTGGGTATCAAATTCTATCTAGAAAAAGAAGGTAGAATTCAAGTATCTTGATCTTTAAAATCAGTATCTTTGACCACAAAAAGTCAAACTATTTATGTGTGTCAACTATTTATCGTCAAAATAACGATATCAATAAGTGCTCAAAGTGATGTAAATCACAACAAACTAAGCGTTTTTTCTTAATCTTTAAAATCAAAGGGTACAGCAGTAACAAAGGTAAAAATAGCTCAAAAGGAAGCTCAAGGTATTGCGGAGAAGAGAAAAGGAAGAAGAGGACCCGGGAGTGTGATTGGTTCAAGTGCTGCAGGTTGTGTTTGTGCATTGCTTTCAATTTATGGAGTTGGTGGCAAAGTGTTTTCTAGGGTTTGGGAACTCGGATTTGTTGCTAGTTTTTGTACAAAGTTGAGTGACACCGTGTCTAGTGAGATTGGAAAAGCATATGGCCAAACAACGTAAGTAATTCTAGATATAGTCATGATTTGAGTCTCAGCAATCACAGTATGGGAGTTTCAGTTCCAATCACATTGGAACTCCGCTACCAAGTGGGGCCACTGTGTACCTGCAAGGGTTGCTGGAAGAATAACCCTTTTACAGATATAACATTACATTTAGACTTGATTATTTCTTTCTTTTTGTGTAGATATCTAGTAACAACGTTGAAGGTTGTCCCGAGAGGAACCGAAGGTGCGGTTAGCGTTGAGGGAACTGTTGCCGGGGTTTTAGCTTCGATTGTTCTTGCATTTGTCGGTTGTGTTATGGGCGAGGTACACAATGTTCTATCTTATCTTTTCACATCTTATATTTCTTATAGTATCTTATAAGGGTGTGGATACCTCTCCTTCCAAAACGCGTTTTAAAGTCATAAGGACAGTAGATCCCATGAGAACTCTGCAGTTAAGCTTATCTAGAGGCTAGAAAAATACCATGACGGGTAGCCGCTTTGGAAGTCTGTCAGGTTGCCAAAAGCAGACAATATCTTAGTACATGCGTCTGACACATGGAAAAGCTTTTTAGGTTTGACAAGGAGGGCAATCATGTTTTTCGCGCAAAAAATGAGTCCTTGTCTTTTTTCTACCTTATTCCACTTTTTTGAGTAGGACAAAATTGTACTTTTTGTCTCATTGACATCATTTAGTCATGTTACCATTTCAATGCATGTCAAACGCAGTACACGTTATTTTTAGTGTCGGAGCCTTAATTGATGGGATTAAATATTCTAATTATTAGGTATGTCTTATATTTTGTGATACAAGATTAAGGTTGCGGAAGCAGTCGTATGCGTGTTGGCATCACAAATTGCAAATGTTGGTGAAAGTGTGATCGGGGCTGTGCTCCAAGATAAAAAAGGATACGAATGGGTAAGCAAAATAACACTTTTATTTATTTATTTATTTTTTATTTTTTCCATGCATTTGGAACATTTTTTTTTTATTTCTACAAGTCTAATTGTGCCCATGTTTTTTGTAGCTTAACAATGATGTGGTAAATGTGATTAATATATCGCTGGGAAGCATACTAGCCATCTTGATCAACCAATTTGTACTCCAAAATTGGCTTCCATAAACAACCTAGTTTAAATTCTTTCTAAGTTTGTTGTATAAATGGCTAATTTTAATGATAGTTTTATACGCTAAAATTCTTTTTTGTTTAGAATGAGTTAGTAATACATATGGGTGCGTTGTACTTTGTATAGTGTAACCATTGATAGCATGGAAGATGCGTAATTTGATTAGAGGTCATTATTTATTGTTTTAATATCATTAAATAGTAACCTAGTTTCAAATTTGTTTCAGAATGAGAAACTTTCATTTACGAATTTTATAAAGTTTCAAATTTGCTTTTACTTTCGTATTTGGACATTAACTAGTCATTTATATAAGTGTTGGGGATAAAGTTGCTTATTTCACGATTGTATATATTATATAATATCAGGTGAAAGTACGGTGAAGATTTTAATCTTTCATGCGGGTTGTTTGACCAAATAGTTATATATGAATTCCAAAATTATTTTTGGACAAAATGGTAGATGTTTGACAAATATATGATGGCGATTTTATGTAACGTAAACCAATCTTCTATTAATTTATAAATTACAAGCTGATTAATCGACTAGTTGGTTAACCCTCTTAATCATTAAGACGGTAAAATAAGGAAATTAGTAAAACACACTATTATTATAATATTTAGAGGTTTAATTTGAAATCCCTAAGCTAGAAACATTGGTGGATGTCATTTGTGAAAAATTTAGGTTGAAGGACTAAACATGTGAAATTCAGAAAAGTTACTTTTGACCTTGTTGGACTTTGTTAGATGACTTAAATGTCAAATTTTATGTAATATATGGTTAATTTGAAAAGAATAAAAGTATTTCCAGACATTTGGAAACATATTGTGGCTAATATTGAAAACTAGAAACTTTAGCGGTTCACATGTTTGTTGTATACACAAGAGTTGGCCATTCTTTTCACTTTATCTATTTTATTAGAATGAGCAAAAGTCGAGGGTTTGTGCTATGTCCCCACTACTTATGAGTCATATTTTGTAATAATATATATTTGAGAGTTTGGGTTATTGAGATGGACTTGGGTTGGGATAAATGTATATGTATTATTACTTGTAGAATTATCCTTTTGAAATCTATTGAGTTCATTGTTATGTTATTGTACAAAAGTTGAAGGTAGTGATAATTGCATTCTATTCATGAGTCCATGTCTTTATTTGGTTGTGGACAAAATTTTAACGTGATGCTTTGTACATACCATTCATTTGTCCATAAATTCTTTTATTTGGGTTATGAATTTATTAAGTAGTATGATTTGGATTACGAGTTGTTAAACCTTTATTATGGGTTATGGGTTCTAGGTTAGGTTATATGATGGATTATTAAATCTTTAGCTTAGAGCTTTGTATCATTACATTCTTTGGATTTGATTTGTAGGTTATTACAATTTCATATTTGGATTTTGGGTCATTATAACCCTAGAGTATGTTTTTGAAACCCGTGAGGTTATCTTGATGTTTTGAATGAAATCAATTTAGTTAACCTTTGTAATGTTTTTTATTACGTCTCATGAGAAAAATCTTTATTATAAAGGTTTCTATATTCAATGTGCGTCTCATGAGAAAAATCTTTACACGAATAGAAAATAACAAATTTGAAACTTGGTTACTATTTTATGAACTATAACATCATTCCTAAATTATTCATCCTTTACATCGATTTCATTACACCACCAAGTTATATTATAACTTTTACATCGACAACAACAAGTTCTCAATCCAATCAATACATTTGTAACACTACACACACTACTAAACCCACAAACTTCTAGAAGTAAAAAAAAAAAAAAAAAAAAACATTAAAACTGTCGTCTCCTTTTTAAGGTACCAGAATTAGTCTGTTGACAACCATAGAAATTTGGCATAGGCAAGTAGCAAACATCCGGAACAAAAGCAGCAGCAGCAGAGTCCATCTGGCGCTGCTGATGCTGACGTGGACGCGCTTTTTGCCAGCAAAGACCCGAAGCAGTAGGCGGTGAAGAGATTTGTGGGACCGCCCATGACGCATCCGGGACCCGCCCCAATCCATCTTCGCCATCTGGCTCGACCTCCATGGCTCGTAGAATTGGGGACCCGTCTGACTCACTCAGCTTCCCACTATCAGCCTATTCAAATATAGCTAAATGTAAAAAACGTTATTTCTTGCATGATAAGTAATTCATTTTTACCTTATTTGAGCTATTGTCAAAGTAGTTATAATTCTGATTGAAATCAGTCAATGCAAGAAAGTCATCAAACTGCCATTGTTGAATACTCTCAGTAGTCACTCCTCCTCCAGTAAAAGACATCTTATTATTAGGTACAAAATCATCAACTCTTGCAGATTCAATAGGAGGCATAATTGGATTAACAGTTTTCCTTATCATTGATTGTGATTTTTCTGCTTCTGGAACCTTGTCGCCATTAGAGTATGATGACTTTCCTGTAGATGATGATGCACCAATTTCAGGACCTTCAACACCTACTTTCACTCCTGTAAGTAGAAACCTCTGATGGGATGAAACTAAAGTGTTGACTTTGTGTATGGCTAGATCACATTTTCTGCATAGCAAAGCTCTGTCTTCAAGACAAAAGAAGTATCCAACTGCTTCCTGTATAATCGAATTCAATGATTGTTTCCAAATTCACGACAAATCATCGTTAGTAAGTTATTTCCTGAACATGTATGTAATTAGTTGAGATATAGTTACAGGTAGAAAATTCCTAGAATCATTAGAAGTTAATCAACTGAATTACAGTTCAATCGATAAACCAAAATGATCCATCTATATTCCTAATTTCCAGAAGAAATTCCTATCAACAACTGGATTCTAAACATGTTGTGGCCCATACGATACAATAGCATGTGTTCTACCTAACTCGATCAAATCAAATCAAAATCATTAAGAAAAAACGAAAAACACAGGTAAGTAATCAAACATACCTGACAAATATCACACTTTGGCATTTGAGAAGTGGAAGTAGAAAGAGGAACTCTCTGATGCTTACTAGCGAGCTTGTTAGCAGCATGTACCTTCTCATCGCAAGCCCAACACAACGCCGCCTCATCGGCGCAACACAGCACCGTCGCCTCCGCCGCCTCACACACGTTGCACTGAATTTTCATCGTTCAAGAATCAAATCTTGTGACAATTCACGGATCTTATCCTCTATATGAAAGTCTGAGATCTAGGAGAAGTATCTTAGGGTTTAAGAAGTAAATGGGCCAAAAAGGAAAGGAGGTGATATAGAAAGTGGGGTTTTTTTTAAGAGAACATGTACTGTTTGAATTCAATGAATCATTAAAGTGTGTATTTAATTAATTAATTAATTTTTCAAATAATAATAAAATGGAATATAAAAATAATGATATTTGTTGCGGCGTACGAACACGCAGTGTACACTGTACAGTGTGTGTGAATAATGAGGCGACCGCTTTCTATGAAAGATAATGTATTTTTAGCTATTTATGAAAAAATATAAATATTTTTAGATTTTTTTGAAAGATAATGTAATTTTAGTTATTCAGGAAAAATCTAAATACTATTGGATTTTTTGAAAGATAATGTAATTTTAGTTATTCAGGAAAAATCTAAATACTATTGGATTTTTTGAAAGATAATGTAATGTTAGTTATTCAGGAAAAATCTATATACTATTGGATTTTTTGAAAGATAATGTAATTTTAGTTATCCAGGAAAAATATAAATACTATTGGATTTTTTGAAAGATAATGTAATTTTAGTTATTCAGGAAAAATATAAATACTTGTGGATTTTATGAAAGATAATGTAATTTTAGTTATTCAGGAAAAATATAAATACTTGTGGATTTTATGAAAGATAATGTAATTTTAGTTGTTCAAGATAAATACAAATATTTTTGGATTTTTTCTTTTCCACCAAATGTTTTGTTTTTTTAATAGAGAGGTTATATGTATAACATCACTCATAATTGGCGAAGTATGAATTAGCCTTCGAATCGTGGATTCTTGTTCATCTTTCACTGGCTACCTTTCAATTCATGTTTGTATTTATTTTAGTCTTTTATGGCTCCTTCCTTTCAAAATGACCGTGAAAAGATAACATATTAGCCTAATAATATTTTTGAAATTGGTCTAAATCAGTTGATATTTTCTTTTAGTATTTTATGACAACATAAAATAGGTTATGATGTACTCTTTTAGTTTTTAACCTCTAATAAGAGGTACACAGTGGCATTATAGTCGGTATAATGTCACATAGCATAATTTAAGTACATTTGGATAATATTGTACTCACTTCCTTTCAGCATCTTCAATCTCAAACAATCCCACATTTTCATCACCACCGCCATGCCCATCTGTTGTCTCTCCATCTCCTTATCAACCTTTTCCTCCTTCGTCTTAATCTTCTTCATGGACAACAACCATTACTTTCTTTGCTGATAAATTTCTTGGTTTTTTCGGTTTGAGTTTGCTAAGTCCTTCTAATGGATTCTTTAGAATCCCTAATTCTCATTTGAATAGTTTACTCCATGATTACCCACCTGACAAAATCTCCGCTGTTTAATTCTCTGTAACTATAAAGTTCACTTTTTGATTCGATTTTCTTTAGTGTCCAAAATTGCAATGTGAGTGATGGTTTGAATTTAGGAAGAGGTGAGAGGGTTAAGGAATTAGAAGGTGAAGCATCTAGTAGAATATTTGATGTTAGAAAAGATGTTAAAAATGAAATTGATGATTTTGCAGTTAAGATTGAAAAGGAAAGGGGATTCGATATGAAAGGAAAAAGGGGTTTTAAATTATCGAGTGAGATGTCACAACTGGCATTTTAGCTAGGAAATTCTATTCCTGTGTAACCATTCATCTATTGTAAAACATATACTCTTAGTAAATCTCACACAATGCTCATTTAGATTCATCATTCATGTTCATCAAAGAGTCTGAAGCCCTAAGATCCATGGTTTAAGTCCATATTGGACCAGGAGTTTCCTTATTGGGCCTAATGGACCAATAAGTACCCAATTCAACTTTATTGGACTTAGAAGCCCTAGTTGGATCCTAATTGGACCCAATTCATAAATCTAAAACAATTTGGACCATTTGGGTCTAGAATGATTCATTCTAACCCTAATGGGCCTTATTGGGCCATAACTAATCCAATTAACCTTAGTGAGCCATAAGCCCATTCTTTTATTCTAATTGGGCCGTGAATGCTTCCAAGAGCCAAATGGGCCGAAAAATTTTATGTTTAGGATCCTAATATCCTAGCTAAAGTTAATGGGCCCAATCTACTCCACCTTTTCTTCTTGGCCCAAAAATCTCGGCCCATGTATAAACAAAAAAAAAGAAAAAAAAGAAGAGAATTAGGGGGGGGGGGTTGACTTGGAGATGTCACCTCCATATTGCCCAACATGTATAAAGCTGAAGACCTCCCATACATCCATGCTTGTCACCTCATATCTCTCTCTGTCACACCCCAAAACCGGAACGGCGGAAACGTTCGGGGGTGGAGGACGTCATGTACAGTATCACAACAATGCATAATAGTAAACAAGCAACAACATCATCCATTGCATTAATAGTAATAATTTTAATACAAGTGTGTTCAGTAGTTTATATGACACCAAAATTGAATAATCAAAATAAAAGATGAGTCTTGAATGTGCTTCATCTTCTCAAAAATCTGATCATCGGTACCTGTCTACTAGCGACCTGAGAATACAATTTATTTTGAAAGCGTAGATCAGCATTTAAGCTGGTGAGTTCATAAGTATTTTAGTGTCATTGTTTGTATAAGTTTGAAGAAGGTACTTGTAAATGTTTGATGTAAGAGTTTGTAAGTGTTTGATGAAAATGTTTGTAAACTTCCTAGAAAATCCTATGTTTTCTACTAAAGTAGTCTTCTACCAAGACTAGATTGTTTTCTATGTTTGTTCTTTTGTAAAAGCGTGAATTTTCCCAAAGTGTGACTATCATTATTAAAAATATAGTTTTTCATTACCGTTATGTGAGAAGATCACAATGTGAATGAAATGGGAAAATAAAGATGTACTAGTAGTTTTATCTAGGTAACTACTAATGTACTAACTACCCTTAAACTTGTTAGTTTAATTAAGGTAAAATGTGATATGATTGTATCCATACTTGATTGAACTTAGTATAACACGACGTTCAAGACGTCGAAAAGATATGACATTCGTCACCCGTAGACCTGCAGGTCCCACTGTAGCTAGCAGCAAGGTGTGAGATGGTCAATCCCGTATAGATCTATACACAAATTCACGCTCTCCCTCCAGGAGACTCTGGTACAAAACGTGACACAACAATATATGCCGAGCCATGAAGTAGTATCTCACATTAATGTTATAGTATTCTTGTATTTGTATAGTATGTACTAGTGTAGTGTTCTCTCTGTCTAGTATGTAGTATGTTCTCTAGTGTATAGTGTGTAGTATGTATTGATTCTCGTTATAGTATGTACTGTTTCTCTTTATAGTGAGTATTGTTTCTCGTTATAGTATGTACTGACTCATGTATGAACTGACTCTTTGTATGTTTCATTGTTCTAGTAATAGTATTAGTGACTTCCTAAACTATACCTATTATAGTTTACTAGCAATGTTGTTTGGTATAATGAACATGTTTGAACACCTTTGCTACCCAAAGGATCTGAACTGAAATGGAACTTTTATATCTATATACATACACATAATATATAACTAAGATTCAAACGACCTTCGGACAAACAACCGATACCCTAAGTCCACAACCAAACAAGGAACATGAAGTAAGGCGAGTTATCAGTCCTAAGTCCTTTCAATCCTACTTATATAACTATATCTATATAGATATGCTTTTGACAAAATATAAGTTTAACAGAGTTTGATAAAGAGTTTTGCATATATAAAAGAGTTTGTAAAACGATTTGAAGCAATTTCTTTGACAATACAGATTGAAGTGTAAGAAATCCATTGTTTGATAGTTATTAATCACATGTGATTGATATAATAACTATAATGTTGTACTTGTATTCCCCCCCCCCATAAAAGCATTTAAATCATTTAAAAGTAAGTTAAAGGGGTATGAACTCACATGTAGTGAGTGGTATGAATGAAAGATCGGTTTGCAGGATGCTAAGTGTCAAGTGAAGACTTGAGCACAACGGATCCTAATAAGCATATATGACACATATATGTATATAATTAGTGTTTAAACAACTAATCATGAAAGGAAAACACCCTAGGACTTAGAAAACACTTAGATTGAAGTGTTACAATCACATGACTGTATATATAAGGGGTGTACGGCCACACCCTTGAGTGTACGGCCAAAGTGCATGAGTTTCATGAGTGTGCGGCCAGGGTGTACGGCCCAAGTGGGTGTACGGCTGTACACTCACTATGAAACATGCCAAAGTGAGTTTCAAGGCTATTTCTTGCATCTCTTAAGTGTCCTTGATCATGTGCTAGCATACAACTTGAGTTTAAGGCCATTTAAGCACTAAACAAAGGGGTGTACGGCCACATGTGGTGTGTGCGGCCGCACACTCCTTGATGATCATGGTTTGGACGATTTCTAAGGAGCATAACTAGTAAGTAACAAGCATAAGAAGGGTACTTACGATATAGAAGCGTTTGGGGGTGTTAGGAGTCCAAGAACTTAGTAGGTGTTCTTGGTGAAACTGAAGAACACTTGAAGATCTACCAAAATGGAGTGATTTCATGGATGAAATCAGTGATCTTTACTAGATGGAGTAAGGAATTAACAAATCAAAGGAAGGAAACACTTACCACTTGAAGATCTAGCTGAAAAATCGGATGATACTTGAGAGAGAATGAGTTCTTGACTAGGAGGGTGAAAAGGGTTGTATGAAAGCCAAGCCTTACATTTATAGGGTAGAGTGTGCTGCCAGGAGGGGGTGTGCGGCAGCACACCCAAGTGTGCGGCCGTACACTCCTCATGATAGAGTGTTTGGCCATTTTTGGGTAGGAGGTGAACTTGTGGAACCCAATTCTAAACCCTAACTTGAAGATACTAGGTTTAGAACACTCAAATTGACTCAAAACAATGCTAGAAGGTAGCAGAAACGAGTCTGACTTTGATTGATTTGAATAATTGTACAAGATAGAAATTTCGGGTTGTCACATCATCCCCCCGTTAGAGATAATTTTGTCCCGAAATTAGAGTTTAAACAATTAAGCTATTAAAAATAACTAAGCGAAAAGATGAGGATATTTCAGTTTAAACTGATCTTCGCGCTCCCAAGTGAATTCAGGTCCTCGCATGGCATTCCA